TTCATATATGCTTTGCTATGTATAGCATAGCCAAGGAATATGCATTCAATTCTTTTTTTACCTAATTTCTTTTTTGTAGGTTAAGGCAATTTGACTATTGCTCTTCAGCCCCATGTTTTCAAGTAACCAAGATTAGGTTTTTTGTTTACCCAAAGTTCATAAAGAGTAACATTTCTTCCCTTGAGAGGAATTCTATTAAGGCCTTGTTTGGGAATAGGCTATTTTAGTAATTTTTTGGCTTTTTGGCTAAAATATGAGGTAAAAAAAACTAGTATGTTTAGGGTGACTTTTTTGCTTTTTACGAAAATATGTGCAAAAAGTAGAGAGAAAATAGAATCTTTGACTTTTTGGTATAGGTTATAGGCTTTTTGACTTTTTTAGTAACTTTTTGGCTTTTTGGCTAAAATGTCAACTTGCCAGATGAGGCCTAAGTATGTGACAAGCAGTGAGCAAGGCTTCACCCCAAAAACCAGAACTTAAATTGGAGTAAGAAAGTATAGCATTAATCATTTCTATTAATGTCATATTCTTTCTTTCAGCTACTCCATTTTGTTGTGGTGTGTAGGGTGCAGACTTCTCATGAATAATACCAACATTTTCACAATATTCTGGAAAATGGTATTCACCGTCTCTGTCAGACCTAAGTCTCTTTATTTTGACATTACACTGATTTTCTACTTCTGTCTTAAAAATCTTAAATTTATCAAGCACCCCATCTTTTGAATGCAAAAAATAAATATGACAGTACTTAGAAAAATCATCAATGAATGTTACAACATATCTCTTACCACCTCTAGTGGGGGTACTATACATGTCACATACATCACTATGCGCAAGTTCAAGCAGAGATGTGATTTTATCTACTTTAGGAAATGGAATGCGAGTAATTTTAGATTACATGCAAAATTTACAATTTTCAAGCATATCAATATCATACTTAGGAATTAAATCTAAATTAAACATATCATGCATTTTCCTAATATTAACATGACCTAAACAAGCATGTCATAAAGAAAGAGAATCAACAATATAAGCAGAAACAAATGTATTATTGATAACATCAAGTTTGAACATTCCTTGATACATGTAGCCCTTCCCAACAAAAATCCCATCCTTAGACAAGACAAATTTGTCCGACTCAAATACTAACTTGAAACCATGCTTATTAAGCAGGCTTCCAGATATAAGGTTTTTCCTGACATCAGGTACATGATAAACATCATTAAGATTATGACTTTTCCAAATGTGAACTTTAGATCCACCGTCCTTTTGCCTTTGATAGCAACAGTTAAAGAGTTGCCTATGTAGAGAACTGTTCCATCATTCACTTGTTCATAAGTAGTAAAACGGCTCTTGTCGTTACAGACATGCCTTGTTGCTTTTGCGTCAATCCACCAATCACCAGCATCTTCGAGCATGTTCACATCGGATATAACAACCACGAACTTGTTCTTGGCATTTGATGCTTCTGGCTTCTTCTTGTATGACCAGCATTCATTTCTGAAGTGCCATGTCTTGCCATAGTGCCAGCAAGCAATTTTCAGCTTCTTAGCATCTTTTTCGGGTTGGGGTTCATGCTTACGCTTTTTTTTATTAAACCTCTTGCCATCATCCACCGTGTGGATCTTGGAAGTCTGAGCCAATTGGTTATCTTTACCTTCAAAAAGCCTTGACTCTTCCTCAACTTGAAGGTGTTAAGCCAATTCCTCTAAAGTAAGATCTTCCTTTTTGTGTCTTAGAGTTTTCTTAAAATCCTTCCAAGAAGATGACAGTTTCTCTATTATAGATGAAGCTACAATAGATTCATCTATATTCATATTCTTTTGTTGAAACAGACTCAAAATATGTTGGATCTCATGGAATTGTTCCATAATGGGCTTTGTATCAATCATAGTAAAACGCATAAAATTACTAACAAAAAATTTCTTACTGGTGGCGTCCTCGGTGAGGTACTTTGACTGTAATATGTCCTATAGTTGATTTGTCGTTTCTAGATGTTGATACACATCGAACAAAGAGTCTGACAACGCATTCAAAATGTGTCATCGGCAAATGTAGTCGTCATTCTCCCATTTGGTTATGGTACGGGTTTGCTCCATAGTCTCGTCTTCTTGCTCCATCGAATAGGGGGTAATTAGCACATAGACCACTTTGAGAGTGGTGAGCAAAAAGTGCATCTTCTTTTACTAGTGTCGAAGAATTCCTCCATCAAAACGGTCGAGCTTCATGAAATCTTGAGTCATTTTCTGAATAGACATCGCCATATCCAAATATTGTCTTTAGATTGTTGGAACAATTCGTCTTGAATTCTTCAATTGGTGGTCTTTGGGTCTTCAAAACTTGGCAATAAACTTGTCTATGTTAAATAGAAATATGATGCTCCAAGTCATGTTACTTGGTCGCTTTCCTAAAGACAATATTTGCACCCACTAAAAGGTGTGCAGGAGGTTACAACAAATTCGCCTCCAAGATACAATAAAGCCTGATCTAAGATCAAGTCTACCGACGTTTGCAATGGCGACAACAGATCAGAATACTCTTGATATGATCAAGAAAACCAAGACACTGATAATCAAATCTGCAGAACTTGATTACCAGTAAAAAAAGAAGAATTTTGCTTAAGAAACTCTTGATCGAAAACTCAAAATCAAGAGAGAGAAAGAAAGAGATAATTACAGGAATGCTTCTGAATTTGGTGGATGGAATTAAATGCCTGATTTCCCAACCTATTTATAGGCCTTGATGCATCTGATCGAATGGTCATGTCCCTCGATCGCATCCGATCCCGTTGGATTGACGATCTATGGTGCAGATCATTGTCACACCGAATAGATGCCTTGACTAATCACACCTGATCACGATTGGGTGCCATCTAATTTGTATGATTGCACGCATCTTCAATCAACGACTATGATCAAATCGCTCCAGATTGGACATACAACCGTTCGATCGGTTGGTTGACTCACCGCCAACGGACGCCACGTGGAGTTGACTGTATTCATCGTCACCCATACCACATTGGATCCACATCATCGATCCAACCTATCCGATGTAACTAGGAAAGCGCCCACGTAGTGCCGATGTGTCCGTGCAAAGTGCAAAGTGCGCCATCAAACGCCACACAGCCCACTGCCCACGCCACGCGCGTGTGCGGATCCTTGCGATATGAGTGCATGTACACTAACATTCATTCCATAATACCATATTCAAATAATTATTCCATGTAGCACTTTATTAAGTGCTTCATGTTTTTCTCTCTTTCCGATGTGAGACAAAGCCCTAAGCTTATTTCATACTTTCCAAAGAAAAACATGGAAGGCTTTGAAAACACCTAAAAATAAACTATAAATTTGAAAACCCATTTTGAAAATTCCCCAACATCCCTTACCATTGTTCATGATAGTGAAAAAGAGAGTTCTTATATATATTTTGTATACTATTTTTAATTTTTTTTATTTTTTATTTTCTTAAGCCTTTTGTTTAATTTTTTTCCCCCCTCAATCTTTTCATTTTAGTATGGTGATGATGGTAGATCTGACCATAATGACAATGCAATATCTATTTTCTTGATTAAATGTTGCTTGACTATATACTTTTCTAAATAAATTTGGAATTCTCTTCTATATCATTTTTTTATTATACTAATTTACGTTTGTGTTTTTCCAATTGAAGAGCTTGATTCAACAACAAATCAAGCCTATTTTTTAATCAATCAATTTTGATATTTGATTGTGTACAATATTTTATTACTCATCTATATTTTGTAGGAGAGCTACATACAGGTAGAAGAAGGAAAAAAAAAATTACAAACATATGGGAGGTGCAAGTGTGTCAATGGTGGGGTGCAAATGAAATACTATAGGGCTGCAAATGTCATTTGCACTCTTCCATGTGTTAATAATTTTTTTCTCTTTTTCTCATCTACATGTAGTTTTCCTATATTTTGTTTACTCATCTGAAATAAATTATGGTTACATATAAATTGAAAGGAAAAAAGGAAGGGATAGATCAATTATACATAAGTGATTGATTTTGATCAACGTCAAATTTTGTTATGAATGCCTTCAAACATTAATAATTTGTTAATAAATTAATGAACAGTAATAGGAAGGTCAATTTTTGTATCATTTTATTTATTTATTTATATAATCGAACTAACATTTTAGAGATAATTTATGCATTGCACAATGTATAAAGATAGCGTTGATTGCACTAATGCGTTAATAGAAAGTTAGTGAATAGTGTTAGGTAAATAATAAAAAGAGTTTAAAATATTTCTTATAAATTGACATGACACTTATTGTTATTATATTAATTTATCATTTTGCATATCAATTTTTTTTAGGGAAAATTATCAGAAAGTCCTATGTACCAAACTGTTACTCTTTCTGGTCCTAAATTGAATCTTTTGGATTGGCAAGTCCTATTTTGCACATTTGGTAGACAACCAAGTCCCGTTTCAAATTATGTGAGGTGTGAGTAGACTGATTTGCCCTTTTCTGTTATTGGCATGTACGTGTATTGCGGGATTAATTGAATAGTTTCTGGGATACGTTACTCTGTCATGTTTGGTAAGTTGGATCCTATGTTTTTGGGTGTGGCTAATTCGTGGGTTGGGCTGAAGGCTTACTGTGAGTTAGCAAAGTAGGGTTTCGTTGTTCTCTTGCTCGTGGTGAGAGCTGCTGCAGTCGTCAACATTGGTTATCATTGCATGTACGTAATACGGTTATGTCTTTTTCATAGTTAACACGCCATTACCCTGCAGAGGACATGTGTCCATGATCACGTTTGTACGTCCTTCACACTGTCCACAATTGTTATACTTATGATGTCATCGTGATGTATCTACCTGTGCTTTTTCCCCCCCATCCGTCCGTGCGGGGTGAGGGGATTCAATTTTATTAAGTTCATTAGTGTATTGATTTTCTTTGGTACATTTTTTGTTTTTTGGACATGTATAACATGTGTTTTCACCCATGTCAATGTCTGTGCTCGTAGGTATGGAAGGGACTTTAATGTTGTTGTGTTCTTATCAGAACATTAACGCAGCCTACAATATCCGGGATCATGGCATGTTTGCCGAATTAGTTGATTTTCTATGTTCCAAGTTCAGCGGGATAGGTCCCCATAATGTGGGATTGTCGTACAAGATTCCAGGTTTAAACAGTTTCACTTTACAAGATGATGCGGATTTGGAAAACCTTGTTCGTCTTGCCCAATCGTTCGGGTTGGAACACATTTGTGTGTTGGTTGATCAGCATGGACGTTTGGGTAGCGTAAGTGAGTACAGCGAACAACATAATATGCAACCCAACCCGGTGTCCGGAATAATCGTTAATGACCAAGGAGGAAGTGATCACGATGTTGATTTGTTGCCTGATTTCTGCCTGCACAATAATAAAGTATTACTGACTGAATCATGGGCGCGGGGGTTAACCCACATCGGGCAATGCTTTGAGGGGGGTACACACGAATTTCGTACGGTTTTGTGCAAGTATGTCATTGAGTTTAGGTTCAATTTCAGGTATGTTAAGAACTATTCTGTATGGGTCACAGCAGTGTGCTCCATGGTGGCGGATAAGGGCTGCACGTGGTCTGTACATGCTCGGGTGTTGAAAGCAAATCAATTTTTCTACCTTCGCAAATGGAACAGTGTGCATAGTTGCGGTGTATCTGTCCGGACATCAAATCATCCAAGGGTTGGATCTGATATGGTTGCTAATATTATGGCAGCTCGTGTTCGGGACAGACCACTCACACGTTCAACTGATGTCGTCTTAGATTTGAAAGATGATTATGGGTTGGACGTCAACTACCGTATTGCATGGTTAGGGGTTGAGAAGGCAAGGGAGGAATTGTTTGGCGCCCATTCCGTATCATTCGACCAATTGCGTTGGTATCGTGAAGCCGTCATGCAATACAATCCTGGGAGTTATGTTGATATCGATTACGATGAACACAACTACCGGTTTCGGCGTTTTTTTATTTCATTCAAAGCATGCATTGATGGGTTTCGTCATTGTCGTCCATTACTTTTCCTCGACGGAACCTTCTTGAAAGGCAGGTTCAAAGGGTTTTTGCTAGCTACCACCGCGAAGGACGGTAATCAAGGTGTGCCCCATTTCATTTTAAAACATTGTATATTATGGTTTGATATATTGCACACGCTAATCATGTTGTCATCATTTATAATAGGGTTGTTTCCGCTTGCTTATGCCATTGTGGACTCTGAAAACCACACGAATTGGGGTTGGTTCTTACAACATCTTGCCAACGTAGTACCCAGTGATAGGACACTAACGTTTGTGTCTGACCGAAACGTGGGACTTATGGAAGCAATGCCTACATTTTTCTCCACATCTCACCATGCATTCTGCCTCTAACATTTATAGAGAAATCTGCGGGACAAACTACGATATGTGAACAGCATGCATCGGATTGGGCTTGTCAGCAAATTTCGTAAGTGCGCATACGCACCCACCATAGCAACATTTAATCAAAAGGCTGACAAATTTCAACAATCTGGAAAAGCAATTGCTACGAAATTCCTTGCGGATGCACATCCACAACACTGGACGAACGCATTTTTCAGGTACGAAAATTTTCGTTACGCAACGTAAACATGAACATACCCAACAACGAACGAGCATGCTTTATTGTTTATGTTTTTTTTCCCCTTGGATTTTGCAGAGGTAGACGATACGGCGAAATAAGCTCCAACGCCGCCGAGTCATTCAACTCTTGGATTCGTGAAACACGAAATCTACCAATCACCAAAATGGTTGACAACATCAGAGGTCAGATTATGCGACAAATGTCGAATCGGAGGGTGTCAGCCCACACCTGGACTGGCAAAATTTGTCCCAAAATGGAATCCAGGCTGGAAGAAGCTTACAACAAAAGTCAGGCATGGAAAGTGAGTCAGGCGAATAACAATGTGTACGAGGTCCATTCATTCCCATCTGTTATGGTGGACATCGGCAGACGTACATGTTCGTGTTTCCAGTGGCAAATAAATGAGTTTCCATGTGCGCATGTTATTGTTGCAGTGCGAAAAAACGGGAAAAACCTTGACGACTTAGTCGTACCTTGGTACCATGTGTCCGAATATCGTTTGACGTATGCGCCCACCATCTACCCAATACCAACAGTTGAAAAACCACTATTCAACCCCACCGACTACGTAATTTACCCACCAAACGTCAAACGTCCGCCTGGGAGGCCAAAGAAAAAGAGAATACCGTCTAAAGGTGAGAATGTGCAACAAATACGCTGTGGAAGGTGTGGTCGTATGGGGAACCACAACAGGAAAACCTGCAAAGAACTCATTTAGACGTAATCCCAATACGTCGATATCCTAATTTATATTAGTACGTTTTCAAGTGGTTGTGTACTTCGTGCATACCATTAAATAAGAATGTGATAGTCACATACAGTTCAGTATTTAAGTAAGTTGTTATGTCAATGTTTTTTGTTCGCCTATAAGTACAAGTGGCTTACGAATTTCATTATGTTCTATCCGTTACACACATATATTTTATGTACCTTTGCTTAAGCGGTATTTTAATTTTATCATAGTTGTGTTTTGACCAAATGAATGCAGACCATGCCTACATGTACACTGCGTGTACATTTAATACAAGTATTCGCGCACCCTGTTAGTTAACTTACGTATAACCGTACACGCTACGACAAAATAATGAAACTCGTGGAAAAACTCCTTCATTTACAATTACAATGTGACATGCAACTGCACAGATACAACACACACCTCACACCTCACGATTTTTCATACACCGGTAGACATTCGCATCACACTCAACTTTCTGTATCGTAAATGCCCCGCCTATCTTAATTTAACAGTTACTAAAACACCTGTTTACACCACACTCCCCCACATCTCCATCAGTATCGTCTCCGAAAATTCATGACAACGTACCAACCACACACTCAACGTCGAACTACATACATACTTACGCAAAAAACAACAACCCACATCACACTAAAACACCGTCACGCATATTGTCGACCCCTTTCACACATTCACACCTAACTATTGTCCACGCACCACAAAGGTCTAGAACATGTGCCTTATTTTAAGTAGTAAACAAATGTTAGTCTGATTGGGTTAACACATTATCCATCAACCTATAACATTACACATGAATGAATGTCCCAACATATAACTAAGGGAAAACAACCACACAACATACTTGCAAACAACCACATCAGTCATCACAATACGCATACTTTCCAGACTTGCAACCAAAACATATCATAATATTTTCCAAAAATAATGCCAGCTAACTGCAGTCATAATGCTGTACACGCCTGTTACGCGTTAATTCAAGACAAACCATCCAACACACTAACCTTACAATATGAACAAACCATAATTTGTGCTAATAACCAAAAACGTAAATATTTGCGCATCGTAGCGCACACAATCTGAAAAACCCATATTCGATGCTAATATTATAACTATATAGTACTATGTGCATCCCTACACACCATCAACGTTACCCACAACGCGTCAATTGGGCGTACCCTCATTCAGTCCAAATCGTTCTTCAATCCCCGCAGCGGGTCATTCACAAAAGACTTCACCATGATCGCCCGCAACACACTGTAGTTGCCCCCATGCAGTGATCTTCTAACTTCCACATGGCGCACATACTGGCGCCTCACAGCACACACAATGATAGCACAATCAAGCCTGTCCAATAATATCACATCACATGTTATTAATGTCATAAGTATAAATTAAGACAATTCATGTTCTGTACCAGGTTACATCGTTCTGTAAAAAAAAAAGGCTTACGATTCGGGACGTTGTTGGGGACAGTCCACCACTGATTCTAACGGCGCTTCATGCTCTTGAGTATCAATCATGTCATTTCCCATGGCCTGCCTCTACACTTCTGACACAATGTTTTTCTACAACAACGCATACATACGTCAACCAACACAGTTTCTATGTCGACACACACACCCATACATTTTAACATGTACACATCTTACCAGGGAAAGTGCCTCCATGTAGTGCACGTCCACAATTCCGCTCCTCGTCCTCATCGAGTTAAAATGCTTCCAACTCCCATCCTCAATGTCATACACAACCAGCGTCCAGTGTGAGTCTTTGCAAAGTGGGAAATGTACGTAACGGAAGAGCTTTGCTGCATGCAGGTTGTCCAGCACATACCTATTCCGTGACCGTACGTTGTTGTTCTTCATCATGTCCTGTATCACCATGAAAACAAGTTACACATTTTGAAATACCATAACCAAACATAACATTTACAGCCAAAAACTTACAAGACATATACTACTGAAGAAATAAGATTTGTCTGCAGCATCGACGCCCTCATTTATCCTCTCCTGCTTAGCATTAAGCAGCACAGCATATGCATCAATCACCTGTGACATTTTTCACATGTTGAATTCTTGCATGGTTGGAAAAAAAAAACCAAAAAACCACATTGCATAAATACCCATCTACGCGACTTACATTCCCCCGTATCTTAGATTGGCGCACAAGTGATTTCACATCGGTGAAATACACAGCAACACCATGACCCTGCCCGTCCCACATCACAGCACTGCATACAACACACAACCCACGTCATCCAAAAATGATAGGACAGTAACCTAGATAAACCTACATACTTTTTTTGTACATACCTATCACCATCCCTGTTATATGCATCGATGAGCTTCTTTTTCTCCGCAGCTGTCATCATTTTCCACACCGCGTGTCTATTGTTAATGTCAAAGCCTGACTTCTTCTTCGCTTGTATGTCAACATCGTCCACATCAATTACATCCGTGCACCCACTATTTCTGGCATTGCAGTCTACGTTGCTCTTCAGTGACGGAACATGCACCACGTTCGATTTGCTCGTCTACCCAGTTACACCCACGCACTCAACACCCGTCAGTGTTAACCCCTTTCTCACTTTGCATTTGATATCCCACACAAATGAATTTTTTCCAAAATTCAACCTACCACCTTCTGCCATGTTTGGACTGATAACCACCACCTCTGTTCCAGCCATTACACCATGCTGCATTTTACTAACACTAATTGTTTGGTCCCGTACCGACGTGACATCCCATACCGGAACTGTATCCCTAGTTACTGCAAACACTCTGTTAGGGGTGCTATTGACTGTTATGCCTGTAACATGTTCGTTCCCACTCAACTCGTGTTTCACACCTTCTACATTCACGTAGACACCACGAAATGCTTGCGTCACATTATGAACTTCGCGCTCAGCAAGCTGATCCTCCAACACATTGACTGCCTTTTGCAATTCAGCTTTTTCAGTGGTGAGTTTCTTCGCCTCATCGTCCTTAGCTTGCATCAAACTACTAAAACCTCTAACAAGATGCAACGTTTGCACCTCATTCGCCTGCCTCAGTCTGTCCACTTCTGCACGTAACTCTGAAATCACTCTGTCTTTCTCGTTTATTAGCAGTTCAAACTCCGTAATTTTCTCTGTAGCGTGGCAAACGTGTGGCCCAACGTCCACTACGTGCTTCCCTGCGTTTCGTGAAACGTTCCTGCTTGGTGTCTGGAAATGGACCGAAGTCGAACCCCGTTCCACATTTCTACCACAAATTCCTTCGTCCCCACCCGCCACATTACCATCCACTCTCATATCAACAAAATCATCGTCATGCACACTACCACCAAATTCCTCAATTGCATTTCCCACACTCTTAGCGACGTTTACCTTATTCACCTCAAAAATCTTCACCTCATAGTCTTTCGTAATCAATCGTCCAGTTGTCACCTGTAAACGCAACATAACAAATGCATGAACAATTTTCACACGATGTCCCGTATAATACAATCATAACTACCATTTACTATTACCTCAAAATCCACATGCCCTGATAGGTTAACCCCACGGGCAGCTGTTACTAATGTGGCAACATCCCACTTCAGAAACCTGGGAAATACGTCTGCAGATACGGGTGATATGATCGTTGAATGTTCACAGAGCCAATACTGTACCCCACATCACACACAACAAATAATAACGTCCAAATTAGCTACATTACTACACCACATTTAACATCAATAAATCACTTGCAATTAATGGCACACCCAACAAATAAATTACAAGCAAACGTACTATTAATGCGACGACACATCCGGTGACTTTTTCAGGTGTTCGATAGAATTCCCTCACTGAACTCATCAACGAGCTATGGATTGCCCCCGTCCAATCGTACGTTTTCATCGCATCCAAATTATCCACATATCGAATTAGAGCCCAGCTGATTGTTTCCCCAGAATTTGAGAAGAATAATTTCCCACAAGCATATAAGCATAGCAACTTCGCAGTGTCTTCCACATCACGAGCAATCTCGCCCTCCACAGCTTCGACTAGTAGGGTTCGTATCAGTTTCGAGGTTATGCGACTAGTGTCAAGACACCTACGTTGTACGAAGTCAGACGATGGCTTAGGTTGGGGGGTCAAATCAAGGCAACCTAACCCACATTGTATCCCAAAGATTAACTTGATGTCAGCATCGCTTACGCACACGCTTCGCCCTCCAACGCAAAACGTCCCGTCCCGTCCATTGTACACCCGGATGATATTTACCACCAAGTCGTCCCCTTTGCGAAACTCCGCGTGGTCAAGTTGATTTATCAAAATCGCTTCAAACATCAACCAGAACGGTGTTTTTTTAAGGTGAACAAGGTGTTCGTCTCGCAGATTCAGCATGTACACTAACTTCACAATGCCTGCAATGTTCGACCGGAAGTTGAGCCTCGTACAGTTAAGCTTTGGTGTGACACTTGGATGATTAACAATTTTTGTCTGTTTGAACAAGATCCGTCCTTGCCTACGTACCGCAAGTTCGTTTGCCATTATTTTGCTAGCTACATCTTGACGTTTACGCTCATATGAACGCGTCCATGGACTGTTTGTCCTCCTACCACCTGCATTTAAAAAATCAAATCAAATATCAGTTTCAAAAGCATAACTTTCAAAACAAAAAAGTTTCGTAACTACCTTACACTATTATAACACGTCAACACCACACACACAGGGTTTACAACAAAAAGACTCTTCACAGTAGCAGGTACTTATTAAAAAAAAAAACATTGGAGTAACCCTGTCCAACCAGTAACAATAACAACATTACGATATTTTCACAAAACATTTTATATTAAAGTTTGACTTTCTAATTTACGCAAAGTACATATCACAAATTTACAACGGAATAGACATACCAACATCCATCTAACGTAACACATCGTAATTTAAAGATGCCCACATGCAAACCATGGCGGAATCCCACAAAAAATTTCCCTCT